ATACATACATACATACATACATACATACATACATACATACATACATACATACATACATACATACATACATACATACATACATACATACATACATACATACATACATACATACATACATACATACATACATACATACATACATACATACATACATACATACATACATACATACATACATACATACATACATACATACATACATACATACATACATACATACATACATACATACATACATACATACATACATACATACATACATACATACATACATACATACATACATACATACATACATACATACATACATACATACATACATACATACATACATACATACATACATACATACATACATACATACATACATACATACATACATACATACATACATACATACATACATACATACATACATACATACATACATACATACATACATACATACATACATACATACATACATACATACATACATACATACATACATACATACATACATACATACATACATACATACATACATACATACATACATACATACATACATACATACATACATACATACATACATACATACATACATACATACATACATACATACATACATACATACATACATACATACATACATACATACATACATACATACATACATACATACATACATACATACATACATACATACATACATACATACATACATACATACATACATACATACATACATACATACATACATACATACATACATACATACATACATACATACATACATACATACATACATACATACATACATACATACATACATACATACATACATACATACATACATACATACATACATACATACATACATACATACATACATACATACATACATACATACATACATACATACATACATACATACATACATACATACATACATACATACATACATACATACATACATACATACATACATACATACATACATACATACATACATACATACATACATACATACATACATACATACATACATACATACATACATACATACATACATACATACATACATACATACATACATACATACATACNTCAGAGCTGGATGTTTGGCACATGTCTCAGAGCTGGATGTTTGGCACATGTCTCAGAGCTGGATGTTTGGCACATGTCTCAGAGCTGGATGTTTGGCACATGTCTCAGAGCTGGATGTTTGGCACATGTCTCAGAGCTGGATGTTTGGCACATTTCTCAGAGCTGGATGTTTGGCACATGTCTCAGAGCTGGATGTTTGGCACATTTCTTGGCTACCAAAATAAGAAAGTTCGTTTATGTTTGGTGTAAAGTTCTGTGTCATTGATATTCTCATGATGGACTGCAATAGTTCATCAGTGAGTCGACTCTGTGTGTTCTGTTAACCTTCATCACAGAAAATAGCTGCTCACAGATCCACGTGCTACCGAACATGCTCAATGTTGGAACCGCATGTAGACTATTCAGGAATGAAACGAGTGAACTGTGCAGGCCCAACTGTGTCGTAATTTGCTTTTAGTGGTGTTTCATTATACTGCAGCTCCATTAGTTCCTTCTGCAAATTTGCAGGTGCAATTTCGACGTTCATGACAAATGGGTTACGAAACAGCTAGAAATTATTTTTCTAAGATTCAAAATCACTAAAGCACCGTGCGAACTTGGTGCAAAGAAAGCTAAGTTTTGTAGCGAAGTGTTCATTTGGGAAACTCCATAGCGTTGACTTGGATATAAGTGTACGGCGGTCAAGAACTCGCGGGCGTGATATAATTTTACGGTTGGCCGGATGTGCCCCGCGGGCTTTCACTTTGACACATGTGCTATCACCCTATAAATGGGTAAAAACTTATTTTTATTTTTTTAATTTTTCTGATTTGATACATGTAGTTTGAATCCCCCAACTAAATTTTATTAGCAATAAATAGAAAGCTTCATTTCATAGAATTTAGCTTAAATATAACTTTCTTTTACTTACGAAACTTAAGGAACACTTCAATCAGCGTTAAATCGTGGTCGAAATTCGGTTATACTGGGCAGGGTGTGTCATGTAAATAGGCATTTTTCAATTTGGTGTCACCCCTGAGAGGGTATGAGCCGATGTGGTCCACATTCCCCCCATACCACCATAGCAACGCCACTTATCGGGAGTTACATTTTCTCCCCATGCTGAAATGGAAGCAGTCTCACAAAAATCAAAATATCATTTGTGATCATACCCCCTAGTTAAACGAAAGTTATCTGTTTTCGACACACTCACTTTAAGAGGTTTCATCGTTGTCTTCTAAAGTGCAATAAATATTATAATTGTATTTTCAAACATCAACATTTTGAGGTATTCCGGCCCACAGGGAAATGATCATCATCATATATAAGAGATCATTTGTACAATTGCACACCAATTTAAATGTGTGCACCATAATGCAGTAGGAAATGACGTTAAGCTGCGCTTAGTTCCATTATAGTATCCGGTTTATGCTGACAGACATTCTCGCACGTTTTAGGTTATCTTTATAAAAGTTGTTCTTTTTCTTCACACAGACACTTGTGCCTTGTCGGTGTACATAAGTTTGATAGGTGAGTTCAGTTCATGTCACAGAGACACTTTTGCCTTGTCGGTATACTTAGCCTTGACATGTGAGTTCAGTTAACGTCACAGAGACACTTGTGCCTTGTCTGTACCTAACCTTGACAGGTGTGTTCAGTTTATGTCACAGAGACACTTTTGCCTTGTCGTTAATGGTAACCATTCTTCGCTTGTTGTTTTTTAATGGTTTTTTAGATTAAACTGCAGAGAACAGTCTACAGCTGCGTTCATAAAAATACCAAACATTGTAACTGTCAAAGGAGGAAAAGTGAAGATGACGCTATGTGCAAGAATACAGTTTCAAGAAATTTGAAACATATCAATTGAAACCAACCAAACCAAATCAAAGCTAGGACAATGTAATTAGATATTTGTGGTCAAACCCACGTAATATGGAGGAGAAAGAAAGGGGGTGGGCTGATGCCACATAAGACATCCAGATGAACGAAGTGAATAACTCTCATGTGCCACAATCTTTGGCTTATTTTGACCTCCGAGCCATCGTTTCATTGCTGCACGGTGTTTTGACACGGCGCAACGTATCCACAAACAATTCCAATCCCTGCCCACTAATGACGTTCTTTGTTTGTTTGTTTTGTCGAGGGGGAACGTTTCATCAATTTGTTTTTACAGAATTTATGAACGAGGAAAGACCCAATCAGATTTGTCAGAATTATTGTGAAACGTGGACTGGATAAGCAAGTTGGGTATCTTGGCAGATATCTTTGCCAGCCTATGGTGTTGGAAACGAGATGGGGGTGTTGGGGCCGCTGACCGCGGACGGCACACTTTTCTTGTTAAAGATGGGCAGTTTTTTGTCCATTTGTACGGCATAGTTCTTGGTATAAACCGGGCAGGCACTAACACTAGCTACGACGCAACTGCCCTCATCCTAAATGAGCTCAACATATCCATGCAAGGAAAGAGCACTTCGATAATCACAAAGGCTGACCATACCAATGGTCAAGGACGAAGGCTGAAGGGATGGACCGTTTGTTTGAATAACGATTTGCAAGATAAGTTGTTGGATCTTGCTGCTGAATAAGGCAAAAAATATCGTTTTCACCACCACGACATCACTAGCAAAATTTTGGAAATATTTGGAAACACTGGTCTACAGCTTCTGCCTCCATTCATCTCGTTCCTGTGGTTTTCTTTCCAGTTGTGTATCCCATATAACTCTTCTTTTGGAAGAAGACCCCTCTCATATCGGGGCAAAAATGTTTGGATGAAAAAGGAGGAGGGTTGGCATGAGGCCAGATTGGAGGAGGGTTGTGGTGAGTCCAGCTAGAAGAGGTTTAACGTGAGGCCAGCTAGAAAGATGGTTGGCGTGAGGCTAGCTAGGAGGAAGGTCAGCGTGAGGCCAGTTAGGCGGAGGGTTAGCGTGAGGCCAGCTAGGAGGAGGACTTGTGTGAGGCCAGCTTGGAGGAGGATTGGTGTGATGCCAGCTAGGAGGAGGATTGGCGTGAGGCCAGCTAGGAGGACGATTAGCTTGGGGCAAGCTAGGAGGAGGATTGGTGTGAGGCCAGCTAGGAGGAGGATTGGTGTGGGGCCAGTTAGGAGGAGGATTGGCATTAGGTCAGCTAGGAGGAGGATTGGTGTGTGGCCAGCTAGGAAGAGGATTGGTTTGAGGCCAGCTAGGAGGAGGATTGGTGTGAGGTCAGCTAGGAGGAGGATTGGTGTGAGGCCAGCTAGGAGGAAGATTGGTGTGAGGCCAGCTAGGAGGAGGATTGACGTGAGGCCAGCTAGGAGGAGGATTGGTGTGAGGCCAGTTAGGAGGAGGATTGGCGTGAGGCCAGCTAGTAGGAGGATTGGTATGAGGTCAGCTAGGAGGATTGGTGTGAGGCCAGCTAGGAGGAGGGTTGGTGTGAGGCCAGCTAGGAGGAGGGTTGTTGTGAGGCCATCTAGGAGGGTTGGGTGAGGCCAGCTAGGTAGTTGGTTGTCGTGATGTCAGCTAGGTGGTGGGCTTGCGCGAGGCCAGCTAGGTGAGGGGTTGGCGTGAGGTCCGCTAGGTGGCGGGTATGCGTGAGGCCAGCGACCTCAACTGTAAAAAAGCTACAAAAAATCTCAACAGAAGTGATTGTGCACACTCCCAGTTACTTCTTATGTTCTTATTTTTATGATGATGATGATGTCTTAAGCTGAAACAAACTACTTCATCTTAGTGTGGTTACATATCTGTAACGTATAGTGCCACATATAGAAGCGTATGCTCGTAAGAACACTTGTTTATTGTGATTTCGGGGTCACACCTGTTGTCTTTTACTCGTTACGTAAATAGTTTGACCGTAACAGATGTCAAAGTGGACTTCTAAAATTGAATGACAGAATGACAGAAATCGATGCATTTATTTTTTTCCATGATTCCTTGCCAACACTTTTTCTGTGTCTCATAGTTTCCTGGCATTATATCCAGTGAGCCCGTGACCCGTCGCCTATGACCCGTGGCCTGTGACCTGTGACCTATAACTCCTGGCCTGCGACCTGTTGCTTAACCTGAATTTATGTAAAGGATGCTTGAAATTAATGGAACCCTTCTAGTTCTGCTATTTCTAGTCATTGCATCAGGTAAGATTTTGATGGGTAAAAATAAATATATATTTATTACACTGCTTTGTCAATGATGCCTTGAGAAGTGCGGCTGAATCAAAGATTGGAAATGATAAATGAGACTGGTGTTTTCGATGTTAATGCATAAAGAAAAAAGCACTTGTTAAAGCATACTGAAACATTAATAATAAACATTATAAAAAAATAATAATAACATATTTGAATGTATTTCATCAGTGGTTTCTTGACAGCAATGTTATAATTATAATACAAAATAATTGATTAAATCAGGAAGCTCATTGATTATTCATGTTTTTGTGTTGTTGTTTTTTTCTTTGCAAGTGAAGATGTACCAGGCTTTTTTCTACTTGAGTAATACGGTAGCCTTCACTTGGGCTGTAATTACTTTAAAGTGATTGAGAGTTGCTCAATTCGTCAGCTACACCCTCTCGTCCTTGCCTGTTTTAGCCAATGGCAAGAATTAGTCAAGACGTCTGGAAATATACCAGGATGCATCAGATGACCAGCAGTGTGTCATTTAGTAATGGAGAGGAAACATAATGGGTGGCGGTTGGGAGATACTATTATTACAAGTATTGACAATTAGCCCAGAATGAACACGTTTTACAAAAAATAATGGTCTCACAATTGTATATTTCCACTATATTTTCTTATGCAGTTTTCAGCAGTTATTACGATCCAACAAGAGTCTTTTTGGAACCATTTGATCAAAACACTTTCAAAAAAAGCTGTGGAAACGGTATGCTAGCCGGGAAAGACTACTTCGTGGTCAAAGGTCTTGTCAACATTAGCGGAATAGAAGACGGACAATTGTCGACAACTAAAATGTTAATTGCAAACCCGCACTACTGGATGCGGATGGATTATATTGTAAGCAGGTCATTCTGGCCACAAATCTAGGCTTTGCGGGTAAATAGGTCCTTCTGGCAACAAAGTTAAGATTGGGGTAATATAGCCCATTCTGGCAACAAAGATAAGCTTGGGATATGTAGGTCATTCTTGCAACAAAGCTAAGCTGTGTGTAAGTAGGTCATTCTGGCCACAAAACTGAGCTTGGGTAAGTATGTCATTCTGGCAACAAAGCGAAGATGGGGTAGTAGGTAATTCATGCTCCAAAGCTAAGCTGGAAGTCTTCACCCTCTCCCACCTTTGGTCTCTGTCAGCAAGATCACTAGCAATACAAGGGCCCTACAAGGATGACTGTTCCACTTTTGGTGCTTTTTTCCTTTATTTTAAGAATTATTTCATTCTTTAAATCACAGAACTCAAGTTTCTTATTTTTACTAACGTTGCGTGGGTTACGCCCCGTCTACTCGTGAGTAGTTTTGAAAATATGATCCCATTGCTTCTCCCTAACTTTTTTAACAGTTTCTTTCTACATTTGGGAGTTGAAATATGGTGGAAAAAAAAGACTTGAAAATATTTCTTAGGTAAATGTAGACTTAATTTTGTTAATATTGGTTTATACGCGCTGCGGTTCTTGAAGAACCTTGGTGGTTATATGAATATCACGTGTGTAAGGGACTCTTATGTGGGACCAATGTAGGTAGTGCTAGGAATATCTCGTGTGTGAGATGTCCCATACAAGGACCAGTGTAAGTGGTGATAGTGATATCACGAGCGCGTGGGACTCTTAAGTAGGACCAATGTTCAAAACCTTCTAGAAATTCCGTCTAGGTACGGTGTGTTTTTGAGTGGAGTCATTTTGTGTGGCGGTGTGGTGTTGTTGAGTGTGGTGTGGACAAATTTAAAAACAGAAGGGAAACGGGTTGAAAGGGAAACGGTGGGGGAGATTTCGTGTTAGATGTAGGCTTAATGTTTCAGATGGCTTCCGTACGAAATGCAAGGACAAATGTGGATAGTCTAGGAATACGAAATTCAGGGAATTCCTTTCGGTGAAGACAGCAGGAAGACTAGGAAAATAATGATTTGTAATTTAGGAGAGGAGGTGTGATTTGTTTTAGAACTTTTAAAGCACTTTTCTACGTCAAGTGCACTTGTACTTGAACATGCTACATCCGTTAAGATTTATTCAGCTAACACAGGATGGCACTTCCAGTTTTTAATAAAAAAAATATTAATTAAGGAATCTCCCAATGAAAACTAACGGTAGAAGTTGCTGTAGAATATAATACTCTAATAAAAACTCTACAAATGTATAATAACACATTATCTATTTGTGTTTAGATTTCTGGTACCCTAGTTCGGTTATACAATACAACCTGCAAGGATCTTGCTCAAATCCCAATCGACACTTGCAAATGCACGTTCATGGATAACAAATTCGTCCGCCTCAAGTGCAACATTACGGCACAACTTCAGTACAGCCGTGGTGTCCTCACCTTGTTCTATGAAAAGAGTTACTGGTATTTAAGTCTTCCTAGTTCACCCCTGCCAGACATATACGGTGAGTAGTTTGCCCCTGCCTGTCGTACACGGTGAGTAGTGTGCTCATTAGTTCCCATAGAATAATAATACATTAATAACGGCTTCGAAATGTGTCCGTTTCAAGCAGGGGCGTAGCGAGGGTGTTTGGCGCCGGGGACGAGATTTGCGCCAGGGAACAAGATCCATTTTAATGCGCTCCTTTTTCTTTTTTTTTGCAACTCTCTAACCCATTATTTTCATCCTATAAAATAATATCAAAGCACATTTTGGCGACCCTAACTAGCTGGCGCCCAGGGACCTCTCCCCCCCCCCCCCCCACCCCCTGTGGGTTCAAGGGTGTTATTAAGTAACAACAAATAACCCAAAATTTCACACATCTCAGAGCTCATCTCTTGGCACGCCACGCCGATGGACTGTTTCTGAAAAGAGCCAGTGCTAATATCACAAATACGGTCACACCCGCTTATCTTGTTCTCGGTTAACTCGCCAACCCTGTTATGTCGAGGTTTTTGAAGTGGAACCGCCAATTTATCTCTTTGTTGTGTCTTAGCAAATTCTCCTCGGTTATCTCGATCATCGGTTATCTCGACGCTTTTTGGCTAATCCCGAGCCCGTCGACTTAACCGAGTTCCACTGTAATTGATGTTTTGTCTCATTGGAAACCTGTAATTTTTCAGGTACTCCTTCGTGCACAGCACGTTCTGCTAATCGAGGTAATTAAGTACGGTGGTTCTCTTATAAGTGATTAGATCTACCATTGTCAGTTTTTAGTGGACATGGTCGTTTGTAGAATGTCAATTAAAGAGCTTTTAAAAGGACTGCTAATTTATGGGCTTCTGGAGTTTATTAATTGTTAACAATTGTTTCTTTATTCACTTCGCTTTGGTGTGTTTACAGCAAAATCTTCGGATGGTTAATTGACCCACCATTGAGCTTAAATTTGGCGCATTTCTATCAAATTTTCAGCCTCCCCCCTCCCCAACTCCAACCTCAAAAGTCAGTTGTTCCTGTTCATTTTTTCAATTTGAAGATAAAGGAAATATGATGACACTGATTTCATAAAATAAAATTCATGATTACTGCGCTAAATAAGATTCTTTAAAAGAAAATGTCGCAAGTGCGTTTGGTGCGTAATATTTTCTTTTGGTTTTCTGTAATAGGTGGTGAAATAAATTTGCGGTGTAAACGTGGATCATACACTAAAACATAAATAAAAATAATTTTAAATTTGCATATTAAGGACTTATACTGAAAAACTTTGTTTTTAGCATTTCTTTATTCCACCAAAATATGTTTATTATTTTTTAGTAAGATCTATAAATTTCTATTCAAACATTTTGGTCAACAGAAGTTTGAATAGAACTCAATAGGATAATAATCTAAACACGCACAGGATCTAATGTAGTACTTGTAATACGTTTCCCTTTTACAGCAGCAAGGGTCCACTCGGAAAGCTTCACTGCTCTCATTGGTAGGTAATGGAAACGTTATCTGAATCTATTAATTAAAAATTGTTCGCTGCTTATCAAACTATGAGAAAAGACAACGCTATCTCAAACAGGAGATCAAAGGAAACTGGCAGGTGCATTTATAGAAATCGTTTCCTGTAACCTCTGCCGGCGTTGTTCGCTTGGACAGAGTTCTCCAAAGTGGTGGTCCGTGGGCCAGCACCTGTCCGTGGGCCTTACTGTCCCGGTCTGCACAACATAACAAACGAAAGTGGATAAAAATTCTATAAAGTTAAAGAAACAAATAAAAAGAAACAATTTACCAGGTATTTATAAAAACTTGCATGCGCGTGAATGGTGCGTTACCTCTCTTTGAAGATTGTGCTCCCATAGTGAGCTTGCTTACCTAGAGTGGAAGATTGACATTAAATGTTATCCATGAGTTCTGGTATATGATATGTCTATGGATTTAAGAATAATTTTAAGAAAATATTTAAACCTGTTTATTTGGCCAACAGCCGATCGTTTCCCTTTGGAAAAATGTCCTATTTTCTTATAGGAATCCACAATGGCATTTTAGGAAATTACCCATTTTTTGTAAGACTAACATACATATTCTGGTGAAGGTCTGAGATTACTCTCTTATGACCCTAGCTAGTAAATAGGCTACCAACTCCATATGCTGAGCTGAGCCATACAACATTTTCCTCACAAAGTGTATTCCAACCGCCCTGGCTTTCCCCGGGAGATCTAGTGAGGGACATTCGGTCAACACGTGCGCTAGCGTCTCCGGGACAAGGCTGCAATGCTGGCAGGTAGGATCCCTGTTGTTATCTAGCCACCAGAAGTATATGACTATGGTTCAGTGCTCGGTACGCATCAGGGTCATTAAGCTCTGCTCTCTGCGTCCTAACCCCCACCATGTGTCTTGGTTGCTCGGAGTCGGCAAGTTTGAAAAGACGCCTCTGGCAGTCGTGTTCTCTACTAATTGCCTGTACCATTTCGTCATGAAATGGTTCGCCAGCCAGTTCTTAATTCCCAAATACGATAATGGTACTTCTGGCTGAGGCTGGGCAGCCCCGGTTTTCGCCAGAGTGTCCGCTTTCTCATTGCCACTGACATTGACATGGCTTGGGTCCATTTCACTGTGACCTTGCCTCATAGTTAACTGATTTTGCACACGTCATCAATGCTGACTTCAACTAAGTGAGTCGTTCCTGGTCTCCTTTTAAGATCTCAATAGCAGATCTTGAGCCCGAGTACACGATCACATTGAGACCCGCAAGCTCCGTCTCTTTTAACGTGTGATACACTCTTTCTAGGGCCATGTGAATAGCCTCGAGCTCTGCATCGAAATTCAATGATGCAGTCCCACATGGCCCCGAGACTTCTTCGTTCGGTGGTCCTACTGGCAGGTATAGTATGAGCGCACCATACCCAGAGTTTCTTTGTCTCAGATTTTGCAGAGCCGTCTGTAAACACTTTCACTGGTATGTTGGAAAACACAGCCATGGTCTCAAGGACAGCCGCTGTCTGAACATGTTCAGGGCTGCGATTCATCACTGCTGCATCGGTCAAGGCCAAATGTATGAAGGGACGTGAGGGTTCCACATATAGTGGATTTACTGGCATAGGGGTCAGTCGTTCTCTTTTGCAAGGCAGGTTGACTGTTCTCTCAAGTTCAACGCCCTGGTGTATGAAATAGGATCGCATTATCTCCTGACTGCCACCCAGTTTGCCTGCATCTGGAACTACGGTTCCTTCTCGTTTAACCGTCGGTACCGCTATGCGGTAGTTAATATTGCTTTTTCCCTCCTTATTTGTAATAGTTCTACATTGGCCAAGACCTCTATAGCAGCAGTGGATGTGGTCCTGAATGCGCCACAGATGAATCTCAGACCCTGATTCCAGATTCGGCCTAATTTTTCCAAATCGGGTTTGCTAGCAAAGGCTTGGACTGGCATACTGTAATCCATCACTGACCGTACACTGCCTAGAAATAGAGATTTTAGCGTTTTGCGCCCGCTCCCAAACTTGTGCAAGCCATTTTTTTTCAACAGATGAAGCTTGGCGGTTGCCTAGAAGCACTGGTCTTGTAGCACCCAGTAGCCCCAAAGCCCACAGTTGGCCTCAGCTCCGTCACCGAAATGCAGGGGAGGAAGGGATTCGAGTTCCCCTCGCTTAGAGTTATGTTTGATTTACTAGCCACATATAATGAATAGTTAATAGGCATTTTTTTCTTACCTTCTCCCAGAGGGAGACTACAAAGCAATCCCCCTTCACATTGGGAGACAGACTTAGTGACTTGAGTTTTTAAGCTTCAGGTAGTCAAGTCTACCCTACTAGTCGGTCTCGCCATGTAGATCCCAATCTCTTTTATACCTATTATTTGTATAGTCGTTTCCCCATTGCTTGTATTGGAAATTTCACATTGGTTGTATAGGAAATTCCTTATTAGTTATATAGTAAATTTCCATTGTTTGTATACGAAATTCATCAATAGTTGAATAGCAAATTCCCCATTGTGTGTATAGGTAGTCTGCTGTCTAGCGTCTGCTTTCTGTCCTTCCCATCTGACTTGTCCATTTTGTAACAACATGTGGATATAACAGTCAACTCCAATAATCGCCCCCCCCCCCCCAGCGATAGTGCGTGATCTATGTACTTACAATACCTGTGTTTTTTTTCTTTCTTCTATTTAAACAGGTTCAGCCCTGTTGGGCACGGCTGTCATGTGTATAGGTAGTCTGCTGTCTAGCGTCTGCTTTCTGTCCTTCCCATCTGACTTGTCCATTTTGTAACAACATGTGGATATAACAGTCAACTCCAATAATCGCCCCCCCCCCCCAGCGATAGTGCGTGATCTATGTACTTACAATACCTGTGTTTTTTTTCTTTCTTCTATTTAAACAGGTTCAGCCCTGTTGGGCACGGCTGTCGTTTGCCTAGGGTCATCAATATTTTCCCAAGGTTAATTTCATTCAGGGCCTCTCAGTGAACATACCCCATTGATGAAATAATAAAGGACGGAGCGCTAGGATGAAGTCCATCGAGGTACACGAACAGGTGTTGAAAGCCACTTAAAGAAAAATTTGAAGCATCAGATTAAGGAGTCTCCAATGAAATCCATCGACGGTTTTCCAACAGTAAAATGCTCAAATATGCATATTTCATTTTAAATAACAACAATAACAAACAAACAAAAAAAACAATTTTAAAACATTAAACTTATTTCAATTTAGCCTTGTTGCTATTCCTTACATCATTGAAGAAACAATAAAAGATTTGATTGCATCCACTGCTGTTGTTCACGTTTGTAAGGATGTCTTGAACAACGCTTCAGATTGTGTCTGTCTCTTTCTACGTAGATTGCAATAGGGTTTGTTATTAAATGGCGGCAATCTATAAATGGAAAATCTGGTAATCCGGTTGATCAAGTGATAAAGTTATACGAGACTGCGAAGTGGACCTTATTCTAGACAAAAACCTTTTTTTTTTCGACTGTATTTTATGAAAGACTTCACTTGCCATATTTCTATGAAAACCAAAAAATAATATTACATGGTGCGCTGTGATGTTTTCAGGACTAAAGAAATGAGAACCCCTGTGTTATATTTAGTAATACTGCTAATAATATGTCCAAAACAAGGACACCTAACACCTCTGGTCAACTGGATGTCTAGATTTTTAATAACTAGCTACAAGTAAAACATGACCTCTGACCTCTCAACTCAAGAAATCACGAGCCAAACGTATGGAGAACAAAGGGACGCAACTGTAACAATACAACAACAACAACAACAACGACATCACAACATCTCCCCCTGTCTGGAAAGATGTGCCACATCACAACATCCCCCCTCTGTCTGGAAAGATGTGGAATATCAATATATCACCCACTCTGTCTGGAAAAGGGTACACATCACAACACACCCTCTGTCTGGAGAGAGGGGACACATCAAACCATTGATAAAAATACATATGACCAACTCACGATACAGGTAACTTAATTAATACACTGTCTTCGACTAATTGTAGTCTTTATTTCCCGCCCTGGTCTGTTTCTTCGTATTTTGTTACATGGTTGCTGATTTGATTTAGGTTCTTGTTTATCTGGTAACTCTGGATGCCTGATGTCATGATACTTGATGTCAGAACTTACAATGTGTGTATCAAGGTGTGCATGTGTTAGAGGGGTCTCCATGTGGTCCTCGTGATGTTTTGGTTCTGGTACTCAATGGGGTGCAGGAGCATGCTGATCATCCATTGCTACAACAGTCTGATCATCAATTGGTACAACGTTCTGATCATCCATTGGTACAACGTTCTGATCATCCATTGATACAACAGTCTGATCATCCATTGGTCAACAGTATGATCATTTATTTGTACAACAGTCTGATCATCAATTGGTACAACGATCTGACCATCCATTGGTACAACGTTCTGATCATCCATTGATACAACAGTCGGATCATCCTTTGGTACAACAGTCCCCTCATCCATTGATACAAAAGTCTTATCATCCATTGTTACAACTGTCTGATCATCCATTGGTACAACAGTCTGATCATGCTCTGGTACAACAGTCTGATCATTTATTTGTACAACAGTCTGATTATTCATTTGTGCAACATTCTGATAATCCATTGGTACAACAGTCTGATTATCCATTGGTACAACAGTCCCCTCACCCATTGATACAACATTCTTATCATCCATTGTTACAACAGTCTGATCATGCTCTGGTACAACAGTCTGATCATGCTCTGGTACAACAGTCTGATCATTTATTTGTACAACAGTCTGATCATCCATTTGTGCAACATTCTGATCATCCATTGGTACAACAGTCTGATCATCCATGTGTGCAACATTCTGATCATCCATTGGTACAACAGTCTGATCATCCGTTGATACAACAGTCTGATCATGCTCTGGTACAACAGTCTGATCATTTATTTGTGCAACAGTCTGATCATCCATTTTTGCAACATTCTTATCATCCATTGGTGCAACAGTCTGATCATCCATTGATACAACAGTCTGATCATGCTCTGGTACAACAAACTGATCATTTATTTGTGCAACGGTCTGATCATCCTTTGATACATCTCTTCTCAGATGTGAACGCTGCCACCATGTTAGATTTAATAATAATATGTTTTACACAAGGAAAACCAACACCTTTGTTCAGCTGGATATATAGACTGTTAGTAACTAGCTACAGGTAAAATAACATGGCCTCTCACATCTCACCAGAATAAATCACGGGTCTATCGTAAGGACAACAATGGGACGCATCTGTAACAATACAACAACAACGCCATCACAGCATCAATTTAGTCTGTTCTACAAGGCTGTTCAGACACATCAGCTAATGCAAATATTAAATCTCCAAAGCTGTTATCACTGTTCCATACACGATACCGCAATTATTTCACAACACACAAATTTGATCGTTTTTAATTAACCTTAAATAAGATAACACAAAGAAACCTCACAAAATTTTAGACTTTTATTTATCCGAACTTAAACATAATACAGGCAATTTTATATCTATGGTTAAGAATCAAATAGTAGACTGAAAGACTGTTTGTTTTTTGAACTAGCGTGTCAGATCTACTTTATTTTTGGTACTAGCTTTATTCTGCTTTGTCCATAGTAGGAGGATAACATTGCACCACGTGAAAAATGTTACTAGAAAAAAAAATGCATTCAAGTAACGCACATTATGAGAGACCCAATAATACCACCACCCCCCCCCCCAACCCGTAAGCAAACGCATAACTTTTTTCCACGCCCCTGAACTATATTAATATACTAATGTCCCACCCACTTTTACACCGCACTTTTGTTACACCATTGGACTATTTCAGCAAAAGATCAGAATATATTTTGTAATACATACATTTAGTGCAGCTGTCGAGAATTTTATTTAGTGAAAGCGTTAGTGACAATAGCTGTAAAAAATTGTGACGTAGAAAATTATATATTTTGATTTTAATTGATTTGTGGGTTTTTTTTGTTAGTTTGTTATTTTTAATGTTTTTTGTTGGTTTTTCCTTCGTTTTGGCATAAAGGAGGAGGGGTGGCATTGATAATTAAGTACTCCTCGGCTATTTTAATCAAAGAAGAAAGTTTGTCGTTCCCTCAAAAAAAAAAGGATGGAGTCAACTTCCACACAGATGTCAGTAACTTTGTATCCGATTAGTTAAACGTATGCATGTGTATCCTCTTTCACTACATTCTACTGACAGTTGTTGTATGTTGATGCAAGCTGGTTAAAGGTTTTATCAGGCGTGGAGCAACGTAAAAGTATTACGGCCTTTGGTGCTTTCGTGTTTTTAACATTTTCAGAAAGCTTTACACAACTGTGTGACACTTGGATACCATGCTGAACACGGGCTCAGTTACACACTATGGTGACTTGTTTTTAGAATGTTTTTTTTCCTTTAAATGATCTAAAACATAAAATATATTTAACTAAACAGTGATTTGTAAGACTTCGTAAAAGATGAGCAAAAGCTATTGAACTATGATTATTGCATCATGAATAGAACAAAATTCTAATAGTTCCTTTAAATTAGTTGTGACTTAAGGTCAGTGATCGCACAATTTTTACGACAAAGTATACAGACTACAATTAAAAAACGTATTTATCTCAAACATTTTAACAGTCCAGTAGGACCGTCATTTTTAGGTTCTGGTTAAGGCCAACACAAGATTCAAGATTTTTATTGACTTATTTTATTTTATATTTAAATTCTGCATTTTAAGGGAGTTAACCCGTTAATAATTTATAATTCTGTGATACAGTCCTTGGTTAAGGGTCTTTAATTTTCAAAGCTAAGTTGCTACATAATTATATTTTGTGTTATCTTGCGACTGGACGCCTCTGAAACTATGTAGCCCAAATAAGTAAGCAATGCTTTACACCTAGACGCCTCTGAAACTATGTAGCCAAAAAAAAGTAAGCAATGCTTTACAGTGAGATATTTATACAGATTTTATTACTTAATGTACTTTATGCGACCTTCACCGCAGGTAAGAAAAAAAATGTATGCAACCTTTTTCCCTGGGACGTTCCATATATTACTGAGGACGAAACGTCTTCTGAATACGAATAAACTTAAGTTTTGATTTTTAATTTTAAAAAATGACAATGTGTGTTTAAGATTAAACAATAAAATTTAAAAAGAAACATTCCGTCTCATCAAAACTTCACTATCCTAACATTCATGTGGACAACACAACTCATACTTACAATCATGGGGACAACACAACTCATACTTACAATCATGGGGACAACACAACTCATACTTTTCTCACTAAATATTAGCAGTGGCAAAAACAAAGAACAGCACATAATTAACATTGTCAAAAAAACACAAATGAGATTTTTTTTTTTTACAAGAAACAAATATAAATATAGAAGATGACGCACAAAGTTAAACACAATCTTTACTAATGAAAAACGGTCACTTCAGTTTAGGCAGACATTGTAAAGGGGTAGGAATAGTACAGACAACAGATATATGGGCAATAACTCACAAAGATGGGATAGCCAGGGAAGAACGGTCACTCTCAACATTACAGACGAAAGAGACACTTACACACTAGTCAACATCTATACCCATTCACCACACACAGAAAAAAAAACTTTTTTACAACACACAAGTACAAACACTGAGAAGCTTATACGAAAGGGGAAAGGTCATTTTAGGGGATGATTTCAAATATATAACAAGCAGTTTAGATACAACAAACCCAAAAAGAAAAGATACATTTTTAGAAGAAACGACACGAACAAAAATAACACAATACATAACAGAGACATTTAACATAGTAGACGCATTAAGAACACTATTGAAAAAATGGGCCTACGAGTAGAGTCGTATGAAGCTCTATTGAAAAAATGGGCCTACGAGTAGAGTCGTATGAAGCTCTATTGGAAAAAGGGGCCTACAAGTAGAGTCGTATGAATCTCTATTGAAAATGGGGACTACGAGTAGAGTCGTATGAAGCTCTATTGAAAAAAGGGGACTACAAGTAAAGTCGTATGAAGCTCTATTGGAAAAAGGGGACTACGAGTAGAGTCATATGAAGCTCTATTGAAAAAAGGGGACTACGAGTAGAGTCGTATGAAGCTCTATTGGAAAAAGGGGACTACGAGTAGAGTAGTTTGAAGCTCTATTGGAAAAAGAGGACTACAAGTAGAGTCGTATGAAGCTCTATTGGAAAAGGGGGACTACGAGTAGA